TATGTACTTCGAACAACACGGACAAGACACTCACGGTTGATGCGTCCGTGGGCCCTGTAGGTGCGGCGCCTCTGCTTCGGCGCGCGGTTGCATTGTACGTGTACGATGTACAGACCGTCCACGTCCAATGCCTTGCTCTATAGAGGATGCGGGCGACGGGGGGGGGGGTGTGTGTGTGTACTCATAGTCGTGCATGCCGTAGTCGTTAGACCATTGACCTCGCATCCCTACAAAGCCGGGACGGAGCACGCCGGGTTCTCACCGGACCAGGCTCTCACATCACCAAGCGCGAAGCGCCGTGAGATATTCGGCGAGTCGCATGAAGGGTGCGCTGCATCCTGCTAAGGGTGTTCGGCATCTTGTGCTTACTTCCTTGCGTACGGATGACAGCTGCGTATGAATTAATTTATTTTCTGGTGCTTTCACTTCCAGAGACAGTTGTAAGCACTGTGTAACTGCCTCGAGGGTGCTTGACCATTTTAACACAACGTGGTGCGATCATCCCCCTTGCGCGGAGTGAGGGTTCACCCCGCACAACATGATCTACTCAACCATCATTATGGTTACCGCCCAAAAAAAATAAACGGAGGAAAAAAAAAAAAACGGTAACCTGGTTGCCGAGTTCACGAAGTGAATTGGCTTGTTTTACAACGTCGTTGCCAAGCGACGAAAACCCAATCCCGATGGCAAACACCGGGGGGGGCGGCTTGTTTTACAACGTCGTCGCCAAGCGACGAAAACCCAACCCCGATGGCAATCACCAGAAAACCCAACCCCGATGGCGAACGACGACGACGGGGACGAGAGGAGGTCAGCTCTGTTGCGGCACAAGCCCAAACAAAATTTCTTAGTTACAATCGCGTTTTGCAGTAACAAGTACTTATCATGCTCTCAACACAATTCCTACTGCTTATTTTCTATGCAACAGCAGAACACGTTCTATTCACCCACTCTGTTCCCTCTCACCTCGGCGTTGGACTCGGCGTTCTTGACGAGGTCAAGAACGATGCGGGTCGCCTTCTGAGGCCAGCGGCACTTGCTCCCGGGAGACACGAAGGTGTGCTTGTGCTTGTTTCCCGGCACCTACAGTATTTTAGCAAAGCAAGGTTGTGTCAGGTCAGCAAATTTCTTGTGTCGCTTGTTGATGAGGCATGATCAACACAAAGCGAGACACGGGAGGTGGGGCGAGGACCAAACGTTTTTAAGCATAGAGTACACCAGTGACACGTACTTCAGCCGAATGAGTCGACTTCCTGATTAACGTTAGAATCTTCCGGTGCTCGCTGTTTGTTACACATCAGGCAGTATTATCTGCTGTTCACGAAACTTGTAACGAAACCTGCATCATGTGTACTTATACGATGCCATAACAACTCTGCTTGCTGTCGCAACGATCGTCCACGAGCGGTTACTCCGCAGAAAACATCGATACCTAAGCGTCTTTCGCGACCATCAAAACACAACGCCACGTGCTTTCGGCAACTGTTGCCGTTTTGTTTCTTGCCACCACAAACCCCGCCTCGATAAAATATCATCTGGGGTGTGCGTGTTAGACACTAGGGCTTCATAAACGGTGCACAATGATGGGTTCAAGATGGGAAAGCCAGACCAGTGTTTGAGGCGAGCTTCCACGGATTGATAACCCTGACCGAGGAAGAAAAACATCACACGAAAAAACTCGGGTCATTGACTGTAAAGCGAGATATTTCATCAGGTTTTTCTCACGATGATATCACATCAAGACAGGACCCCCAAGATACCCCCCCCCCCCCCCCCCCCCCCCCCCCCCCCCCCCCCCCCCCCCCC